TAACAGCCTAATGGCTTTCCTGTCCTGCTGTCATGCCACGGGGCCACCAGCTCACATCCTGCCCAGGCGAGCTCATGGGAGGGCAAGCAGGTGCCTGACCATCACAGCAGAACTTGCCATGAGATACCTGAATGAGATCCTCATTCTCCTGCCCACCCAGCAAGAGCCTGTCTGTCTGTCCTCCATGTCCCCACATCACTATCTTGTGGGTTGAGCTAAAGATGGGGGGGTCACTGGATAATTACTGTCATGGGCAAAAGAGACTCAGCTTGGGGGAATTTCACTTAATTTATCATCAATGAATATACTATAATTACTTGAACACTGATTCAGGTTTTTGGAAACAAACAAAAAAAACCCCCAAGCATTTTCACACCTCTTCTCCCCTTTGCCAGGCTCAACATTGCTCCCAGCACCACTCCTCTTCCTTGGTACCACTGCAGGTTACATGCAGTCGCCCAGGTGAAGGAACAGGCAATGGCAGGGGGATGCAGTCAGGCCATAGTAGGTTCCTCTCTGCTGCTCCTTCCTTCTTGCTGTTTTCCTATTCTCCACTGTGACTGCTCAACACACATCTTCATTTGGGGGTCTACCTGCTCTGTCATGGGCTTACCCACAGGCTCCAACATGGATCCTTCAGGGGCAGCAGTCCATTCGAGGAGTGCCTGCTCCAGCATGGAGCCCTGCTTCATCCTTCTCCTCTGAACTGCTGTGTAGATGGCTGGAGCAATGTTACCTCCTGAGAGGTGTGTTACTGAGAAGCAAGGTGTCCAGCACCTGCATTGGACACCAAGCTAGAAGCACAGGGTAACTCAGGCTGGAGAGGACCTCAGCAAAAGTCCAGCCATCTGCTCAAAGCAGGGATTCAGCTCTGGGGTCAGACCAAGTTACTCAGGGCTTTGTCCCATCAGGTCTTGAAACCTCCAGGTATGAAGTCTAGATGACCTGCTCCACTGCTTACCTGTTCAATGTTTCTCCTTCTCCCACACAGTCAAGCAGCCACTAGAGCCCAAACCCACCAATCCCTCTTCAATTTAAATTACAAATTGAGAGGGACAGAATGACTTCTGAGGGATGCCATGGTTTGGCAATTTGCCTGCTCTTCCCTGGCATCTGTCAGCACAATGCCCCATCACTCACCAGGTCACACATGTTCTTTGGGGATTTCCAGGAGCAAATTCGGGGAAAGGAGCAAATTCTTCAGTTTGTTTTTTGTTTGGTTTGGTTTGGGGCTTTTTTTTTTTCCCCAGATATGCTGCTGTAGTTCAAGGCCCCTCCGTGCTGCTGCATGGACACCAGAACTTGCTCACAAGAGTTTATTGCTTCTGCACAGCACCAGCAGACATGCAGCGAGGCCACTGACTCAACTGAGGTAGCACAGAGCAGATCCTCACACAGCACAGATCCTCAGCAGCAGTGACAGTTCAGAGCATGGATCCGTGCTCCTTGCTGCTCTCCCAGACTTCCCCCACAGCCCGTGGCCATGGTATGACCCCAGGGGTAGGAAAAGGGTGTGAAGTGACATAATAGAAATGAAGACAAGGCACCTTCACCACATTTGTTTCTGCTTACTTGTCAGACTGCCTCCTGAGGAGGAGCTGGCTCAGAGGGATGTTCGTGAAAGGCCGCTGCCACCACTTGGTGTCATTGCTGTCCCAGGCCTAGTGAAGTTCTCCCTGTCGTAATCATTCACACAGGACTGGTTCTCCCGCTGTGTCCTCAGCAAAGACATCAGACTCCATGCTGGTGTGTTCCTTCCTCTGAGGTGTCTCGAGAAGTTTGTTCGGTAGGAGACCAACAAACCAGACAATGAAGAAGGGCAAGAAAGAGGCAGAAAGGAAATTAGGAGTTGCTATCAGGAAACAAAACAAAAGGTCCCCTTGCCTGAGAAGATCCATGTGACAGTGCTGAACCTCGAAGACCATGTCCTTTCATGAAGGGCCAGCTTCTCAGGAACAGGACCACTAGATTCGTATAAATGTTAGTGGGAGGACCTCCGAGTATCTCTAGTTCAACCTCTCACTCACACCAGGACTGTCACCAACTGCAAGACACTATCCCAAGGAGATGCTTGATAGGGCAGGGACCACTGGGCAGGAAGAGCTCTGCACGCTAACCCACAAGCCTTTGTGACACCCGAACCTGGTAGAGGACATGCACAGGAGACCTAGGCCAACATCTGTCTTAGACATCTTCCACCACAATGTTTGTCCTCATGCTTCAAGATCTGCAAGCTCGTCCCAGCAGGGGGGTGTCCAAGTCAAAGCAGAGGGACTCTGAGTTTGTGAGACCTAAACCGGGTGGAAGGTGGTTCCACAAACCCTACAAAAATGTGTGCTGGTTCCAGCTGGATTGAATTATTTGTTGTACATAAGCTAAGGCAACGCCATCTCTGCTTGCAGGCTACCTTCACTCCATGGATTATTGTTTGGGTTGTAGTTTATCTGAAACTACCTGACAGCAGGTTGTCATGAGGTGGGGTTGGGTCTCTTCTCCCAAGGAACAATTGACAGGACAAGAGGAAACAGCTTCAAGCTGCACCAGGGGAGGTTTAGATGGAGCTGGAAACAATTCCTTCCCCAGAGGGTGCTCAGGCATTGGAACAGGCTGCCCAGGGCAGTGCTGGAGTCACCGTCCCTGTAGGTGTTCACACACCGTGTAGATGAGGCCTCAGTGCCAGGGGTTAGTGGTGGCCTTGGCAGTGCTGGGGAACGGTTGGACTTGATGGTATTAAAGGTCTTTTCCAACCTGGGTGATTCCATGATTCTATGATCTTACGATACCTCTGCCCACACACTACAGAGCAGCTCCTGAGCCTTTCCACTGGTTTTCAGACTGATGCATTATTCCTTATTGCACCATCTGCTTTTGGCACTTTTTCCTGGATGGAAGAAACAGATTCTCAAATGACCTTCTCTCCACAGCCAGGATACAGGGTGCAAAGTGTTTGCCTGTGCTCACACACTGCGTTGCAGTCCAAGGTGGGGTAGCATTGCTTTGTGCATTGATTTCAAGGCTGGCAGGGAAATGCTGGAGACAGGAGTTCCATGGAAAAACATGTATCATTTTAATTAGGCCTGTAACAACAGGGATTACAAGAGAAAGCTTCTCTTGCAGCCTCGGACCAAGCAGTGCATCATTAACAAGCCCTGGCAAAGCCTGGAAAATTTTAACTCGCTGATAGTTACGTCAAAGTGGCAGGAATGGCTGTTACCTGTGCGGACATGTTCCCCAAGCTGGGGTGGCAAAATCTGTCATGAGATATGTCTCTGTCCTGGGTTCAGCTACAGCAGTCATTTTTTCTCCTTAGTAGCTGGTGCAGTGCTGTGTTTTTGACTTTCAGCCTGGGAACAATGCTGGTAACACACCAATGTTTTTAGTTGTTGCGAAGTAATGTTTACTCCCACCAAGGACTATCTCAGTCTCATGCTCTACCAGGGAGGAGGGGAAGCCGGGAGGAAGCAGAGACAGGACACCTGACCCAAACTGGCCAAAGGGGTATTCCATACCACAGCACTGTCATGCCCAGTATAGAAACTGGAGGAGTTACCCGTGAGGCCCAGACCACTGCTGGGGTCGGGCTGGGTATCGGTCGGCGGGTGGTGAGCGGTTGTGTCCTCTCCCCTTGTTATTCCTCTTATCGTTATTATTGGTAGCAGCAGTGGTTTGTATTATACCTTAGTTACTGGACTGCTGTTATCTCAACCCGTGGGAGTTACATTCCTCTGATTCTCCACCCCATCCCTCTGGGAGCGGGGGGAGGAAGGAAGGTGGGGGGGAGTGAGCAAGCGGCTGCGTGGCTGCGTGGCTCCAAGTTGACGGCCGGGCTTGAACCACAACAGGCCCAATGTGCTTCCCAATGCTCATGCCAGGGCAGCAGAGCTCTGTCACAGCAGTGGGGCCCTCAGTCTGAGGCTAGGTGGCTGTCTGGGAGCTGGCAACCCCATTTGCTCTTTAGTGGAGAGGCAACATCTTTAGCACAGATGCAAGATGGGTAGTGATGTCATCCCCCTCTCCTGCATTCTCCCAGAGTATCAGGGCACTTATTCAGATTCTCCCTATATCCCTCTGCTCCAGCAGCTGTTGCAGAGCTGCAATGCTGGGATCAGGGCAGCTTGGAAGGGGCAGGGCACTTGGGGTCTGTGAAACAAGAGAGAAGTGATGGACCTGCTGCCCCTCATCTAGGCTGGGCAATCCCAGCAAAGGTATGACACTTGGGAAGGAACAGGGACCAGCCCCAGCCCCACATCAGGGTGACCCTTTCCCTGGCACAGGCATAGGTCTTGGTGCCCATGGGGTCAAACATGGGGTCTCTGGGCAGGATGGAGATACTCAGAAGGACAATGGAGCAGCTGGGTTTCTGTCCTCTGGGTCTCTGAGAGCATGCAGAAAGCTGCAACAGCACTGGCAGGAGCTGAAAGCCTGTTTAGGGCAGGAAGCAAAGATAATCAAGCAGCCCCAAGTAAGATGCTCTTCCTGGCATGTGCCTCTGAAGGTCCAGGCCATAGGAGACTTGTTCCTCTCCTGCATGATGGCTCTTGAAAGGGGCAGACAGCTGACCACACAACACAATTTCTGGATGAGGATTCCCCCAAAGTGTTGCTGAAACCTCTCCTGTTTCAATTCCCACTAGGACAACGGGTGGCTCCTGCTGAGCTCTGCATCCATGTCCTAGCAGCCTTCTCTATTGACCTTGAGCTGTCTCCATTATGAGATATGAAACCCAGCTTGCTGGACAGTGTAGTGAGAAGCAACACCTTCACCTTCTCTCAGAATCTTTAAGTAACTTCCAAGTAGAGCTGGAAAAGTAGATCCTTCTTGCATATGTATCTAGAGCCAAGACACAGCCACAGCACTGTGAACTTCTCTGCTCATCCATCTTTCCTCCTGTTCCTCCCTTCAAGCTGCTTCATCATGGGTCATTCAGCTGTTGCAAAGAATCCCAGGCAAGGATCAGCATCCAAGTGTCTGGATGGGACATTGGATGGGCTTCATCAAACAGACCCTCATCATGACCCAGCTGCAGCATCCACCACACTGGGGACCAGGATAGAAGTGTGATGAGGACATGCAGTGGGGCAGGGTGGCACCTGGACACAAACACCATGTCTGTCAAACTGGCACCAATGGGTCAGACAGAAATCCCCTGAGCAAAGGGTGGCTTCGTGGGGCTCCTGCTCCATCCCCAAAACTGCCTCCCTGCCCAGGCATGTCCCCATGCCTTCCCCGCCTTGGTTCCCGGCACCATGAGTGGCAGTGGCTAATCCAACACTGCGTGGTTGCTTGTGCAAGAGGTGCTGGATGCTGCTCCAGTCGCCCCCACCTCCCACAGATGACCTGGATTGAGTGACTTATCCCTAATCGCCCCATCCATCGCTCACAAGCGAGTGAGGCAGAAGCTGCCTGATAAAACCCCACTTACCATCATGGCCTCAGGCTTTCTGTAGGACCTCTTCACAGATGCGAAGTGCTTGGTGATGGGTAAATCCAGCAGTTTCCCCACACTTGCCAGCCCCCAATCCCATCAGCACCCCATGGAAGTGGAGCATCCCACCACCCCTGTCACACACTGTTTCCATCACTGCTGGGAACAGATGAGGGAAACAAAGCAGCCCATGAGCTCCCCCAGTGTCCTTGCACAAAAACGCTGTGTTGCTGGGTACATCCCTTAGAGAAGGAGGGAAACTACCCTGCTGCACACTTCCATTTTTGCCAATAGGGCATGTCCCCAAAAGACACATTTGTGATTCTTGTCTGAACAGCGCAAACCTCACGGTGCCTCAATCGCTTCCCAAGGAAATTCCCATACGCTGGTTTGTCGAAGCCAGTGCAGAGCCCATCTCTCCGCTGCCCCTCCCAGATCCAGTGAGTGCAAGGAATGCTGGTCTAGCCCCTGGCCAGGCCACTTCTCATCCCACACACCACCTCATGGTGGTATGTGGGATGAAAATCTCATTAATTAATCTCATCCTGCCAATTATCAGTCATCTCCTCAGTTATCCCTTGCCCTTGCTGGTATTTCCATCTTTTCCAAAGCCTCATTTGTGGCCACCCAGTTGCGCCTGAGGATCTGTACTATTTGCCATGAAGTCCATGTCTTCCTCTGCTTTGCAGATGCTTCCAGAGTTGACACCACTCCGCCAGCATCACCTGCACCAGCAGACACCTCTGCAGCACAGCTCTGCACGCACATTTCCCAGCCCCAGGGAGGGATTCAGTGTTCAGACTGGGTAGCACTAGCCAGGGACTTGAGGGAAATAGCAAAGTCTTCGCCCAGAAATGCCTTTATTTCCTGCTAGGCATGAATTAAAACTTGGATTTTCTTCCCCCTGCCAAGCATAGCTTTCCAGGGCACCTAGCCAAGCCTTCTGCTGGGACACAGAAAGAAGTACCCAGGGGACTTCAGTAACTGTGCCAGCTTTGGAGGGAAGCCCCAGATGTGGGTCAGGAGAGTGTTTCTGCTGTGCTGGGATCTCTTAGCATCAATGCAACCTGCTGCAGCCAACCAGAAAGCCAAAGAATGAGAGCAAGCCCAAAAAGTTTGAATCCTCATGATCTCCACACCATGGCCAAGTGAATAACTTGAGCATCTTCTGCATAACAGGGCACTTTGACTCTATGGATCACACTGGGATCCCCTCTAGATCTGTGCCTCTCTGCTGGTCCCCTTGGCTAGCCTAGTCCAGTGATTGGCAGGTCAGCCAGGACCTTCCCAGAGAATGTACTAGCAGGATGGAGTCAGCAGCAGGGTCAAGGGGGTGACTCTGCAGCCACAGCCAGCTACATGACCTCAGCTGGAACACTCCACTGGGCAGTGCAGGTGAGGGCTTTGAAGCTCCGGAGGAGCCTGGTAGCACCACGGTCTTCATGCCATAAGGAACAGCTGTACTTTTCACTACTCTGCAGGAAAAATTAAGGAAAAGAATCATAGAATCATGGAATGATTTGGGTTGGAAAGGACCTTAAGATCATGCAGTTCCAACCCCCTGCCATGGGCAGGA